ATAGTCAAGAAATAGAGAATTGACCTACTCCAAAATAAAGTGCATTACAGTGGTCGAGCTGGGTGATTACAAAGACATTAATAAAAGTGCTTCATATTGGCCAACTGCCTTAGGTGAAAAAGTCTGGAACAAACAACAAACTTTTAGTTTAGGATTAATTTTAAAACCCAGATTCACAATCTCTGGTTTACAGAAACTTCCAGTTTATTAAGAGGTTCAGAATGGGCACCAGTGAAACTAGGTCCCAAACACCATCAGTCTTAGAATCATTCAAATCAAGAAAGTTCAGTGCCATCCAAGATTTTAAGTTCTTCAAACATGACTCCAGTGTGTTTACAGAGAAGCCATCTGTCCTTGTAGATCAGACTTAATTTCTTTTTTCAAGTCTTTGATTTGTTTGCTTATAGTTTCAAATCTGGCTTGTAGTGAAGCCTGCCGTGTCTTAGCTTAGCTTCTCCTCGTATATCTTGATTATTAGGAATTGTACTACTCTGTGATTTGATACCCCCACTCATTTTGAGTCTGAATATGTGTTGAAAATGTTAATTTTAGGGGTTAAATCTGACTAGCTATCAAGAGTCGTTCACACCACCATCTAATCCGGAACCCCATCTGTCCTTTAAGAGTAACATAGATTCAGCAGTCATTGGCATAACAATCAATAGTGTGTTGTGATTCCACGATCGCTGAATCCAACGCAAAATCAACAAAAAGTCCAAAAATTTTGCGATCCTTCAAAATTCTTTAGTTAAAGGCAAAATAATTGCAAAAATCATAAATAATCTCATAAATAATTCAATTCCAAGCCATAAAATCAAGTTATTTATTTTTTAGTTTGCAATAAATGTTTCACTTGACTTAAAGACATTGCATACGCAGTGCACGTGATGTATTTGAGTATCTCTTTTAAAAAAATCCATCCGTCTTCACCTGCCCCCTCACAATCCTAACATTACATGAAAGTGTGTGTGGGGGGGGTGGATGAAGTGCAAGTGATGTGAAGTCAATGCAAAGATTGGATCAGACATCCTGTGGCGCGAATGGGGGTTTGACGCACTTCAGACTGCAAAAGAAAGTTGGAACAAACATCTAACAAATGGAGCAAGGGAACAAACAGAAAACCAAGCAGCTTACAATGATCGAGGTTGATTCAAGGATGACAATGCTGGACGTGACCGAATTGAGAGACATTTGTGCTTTACATATATGGCTGGGGCGACGCAGTGGCACAGTAGGTAGTGCTGTCGCCTCACAGCAAGAATGTCGGGGGTTCAAGCCTCGGCTGGGTCAACTCTCACAGAGTTACACGGGCAACTGCTAATATTGACTGTCTAGTGCCAAAGTGTAAGACCTGATTTGGTCAATCTGTCTTCTCTGTAAAGGGAGCCAAACTGTGGAATGATTTACCTGTTAGCCTAAAATCAGAAAGTAATATAAATGTTTTTAGTAGTGTTCTTAAATGGTGGTTAAAAATAAAACCACTGTTTGCACAAATAGTCTACTGTTAGTTTGTTAGATCATGTTGCCTTTGCTTTTCATTCATTTTCTTGTCAGCTTCCGGGGTCGCCACAGCAGTATGAACCGCCAACTTATCCAGCACGTTTTTATGCAACGGATGCCCTTCCAGCTGCAACCCATAACTGGGAAACATCCACACACTCATACAGTACGTAGGATTTAGCCTACCCAATTTACCTGTACCACATGTGTTTGAACCGTGGGGGAAACCCACGTGAACACAGGGAGAACATGCAAACTCCACACAGAAACAGCTCGAACCAATGACCCAGCGACCTTCTTGCTGTAAGGCGACAGCAAGACTACTGCGTGGCCAACTTTGCTTTTGCCTTTAGTAATTTTATGTAAAGAAATATAATGTTGTGTATTTATATTTTATTATTTTCCATTTTGTCAAATTCTTTCAAGCCCTTTGTGGACAGGTGTTGAGAATTAGCAAGTTTGCTAAAACACATAAACAAATGCATCTGGTTGTCCAGTGTAATTGTGATGTCCATGTCAAATAAATAAATAAAAGTTGGCGTTTCTGTGTGGAGTTTGCATGTTCTCCCTCCATTTGCGTGGGTTTCCTCCGGGTGCTCCGGTTTCCCCCATAGTCCAAGGACATGTGGTACAGGTGAATTGGGTAGGCTTAATTGTCTGTAGTGTATGAGTGCATATGGATGTTTCCCAGACATGGGTTGCAGCTGGAAGGTTATCTGCTGCGCAAAACATATGCTGGATAAGTTGGCGGTTCATTCCGCCGTGGCGACCCCAGATTAATAAAGGAACTAAGCCGAACAGAAACTCTTATCTTTAACCTTTTATTACAGAATACAGACTCTGGACTCTCTACCACATTCAAATGAACTTGCTTTCAGTGATGTACAGAAACAAAGACCAACACAGAAAATATGCAAATACCCCTGCATAAGGAAGAACAGCCTCAGTTTACAGTAATAAATAAAAAATAAGCATGATATAAAATAATCGCATAGCTCGAAACAGCAGACAGAAACAGCAGACTGAGGACAGAAACACACCACCTCTGAGGTAAGAACACACACATCTACATCGGAATCAGTCTTTAAGGTTTGTGAATTGTGTTTTGCTGCTGACATTCTTTTCTCAAAGATAAACATTAGTGTATGTTTTTTGAATGTGTTTCTTTCTAAGAAATGGCTCAGACTCTATATTTCCCTCTTCTCCTCATTGGTGAGTGTGTTTGTAGTTTTATTTATGGTTTATAGTTTCATTAGGTTTGACTCTGTTCTGAAAAGCATTAAAGGAAAGTGTCTCTTTCACAGCTCTCTGCTCCATATCTGAATGTGTTCAGCGTCAGTATCACTTTATAAATGAGAAGAAGAACTCTGCTAAAGCTCAGAGATACTGCAGAGATAAATACACAGATCTGGCCACTGTTGACAACATGAACGACATGATCCAGCTGAACAAGAGTTTGAATAACAGACGTATCTGGATTGGTCTTCAGAAGACGAGACACTACAAATGGCATTGGTCTTCAGGTGATCCTGCGCTTTTTCTAAACTGGGCATCTGGACAACCAGACGTCAATGCTGATTGTACTTTTATAAGAAATGGAAGTTGGCATGATTGGCCATGCACAAAGAAGTGTCGCTTCATCTGCTACAACAGTGAGTACACAGACACTTACAGCAGACATTAATTTGACAAAAGTTTCAAAAAGGCTTAAATGTGATTATTATTAAATATGACATTATAAAATTAGTGTAAAGCTTAAACAAATACCTAAATCTACTTTGTAATTTTGTGGCAAATATTTCTGGCAAATCTACTATTAACAAAGGCAAACAGGAAAAGAGATCTAAATTACAGAATTACAGACCATAGTCTAAATATCTTAAATAGTGAACATAGTAATATTAATAAACAACAAACTCAAATCTTCTCTAACAGGCTTTTCTTCTGCTTATGTTCATCTAAGCAGAGTAAGAATAAACTTATAAAATAATGTTTCCATTTGGTTTTCTTAAAGTGAGCCAAGGACTAGTGTTTGTCGATCAGAAAATGAACTGGAGAGCTGCTCAGAGTTACTGCAGACAGAATCACATTGATCTGGTCACTGTGAGGAACCAGAATGAGAATCAACAGCTGGAGAAGTTCATTAATGACAGAAACTCATCTGGATCTGCAGTCTGGATCGGTCTGTTCAGTGACACATGGCAGTGGTCAGATCAGAGCAACTCCTCATTCAGATACTGGAATTCTGGTGAACCAAATAATATGTTATGGAATGAAGACTGTACAGCAATTGAACAGAACACTCATGGAAAATGGATAGACATCTCTTGTAATCGACAGTATCCTTTCGTGTGTCATGAAGGTGAGCAGATCCTCCAAACACACTCAATCCATCATCAGATCCAGGGGCCTCATGTACGAAGACTTGCGTGGAAATCATACTAAAACATTTCGTACGCACAAAGCTGTAAATGTGCGTACGCAGAAAAAAATTCAGATGTATGAAACACTGCGTACGCCAAATCTCATGCATATTCTTTTGTACATCCGAATGAACGTGAAACTGAGCGCAACATGCACGAGCACAAAACCCCTCCCTGCCTCCTCCCCTGTATGAATATGCTAATGACTCTACTTTGGCAAAACCCAACGAAAAAGCAACGGCAAAAGCAAGCAAGAAGAGAAACTTTGAACAGAATGGGAATTGGAGGTGCTGCTTTCGGAGGTAGACCGGAGAAAAGCGGTGTTATTTGCAAATTTGTCCTCCGGAATTAACAACAAAAGAAAAAAATAGAGTGGGAGAGTTTAGCTGGTGTGGTCAACACAGTTGGGTCTGAACATCGCACTTAGTGAATTAGAAAAAAAATAGTGTGGTTTATAGGTGTAAAATGTTGCAGTATCTTTAACAGTCTCAGTGGCGCAGCTCGTAAAACGCATTTCAACATGTTTTGACACGTTCGAGCATGAACTCTGTTCGAATCCAGCGTCTGATGAACTCTTTCTTCTTTTTTTCCCCCGCTACATATCAGATTTTGCCTTCTATTTATCACGAGAAATACAAGTAAGAATCATTAATAAGTCTGTGCATCATATTTTATTTGCACATTTATTGAATGGAAATGTTTCTGATTCACGCATGCAAATTCATCTTCAGATAGTGTCTTTATAGCAATGTGCAGTAGATAGCTCAGATTACAATGGGAAAGCAGGCGACTGCTGCTAATTGCGCTTTAATGTTCTGCTGGTCAACTGTATGGTATGGAAACCTTATATACTTGCTAGATGAACCCGTCTCATACAGCTGCCATTGCAAGGCTCAGACACTTTGTAGAGAGCAATTTAACACAACTGCCTCTAGGAGTCGCCAATGAAAATAAAACACACACGCACAAAACATGTACATACGCCAGCCATAAAGCTGCCGTGGAGCTGCGCACATTCCCACGCAAAGTTTTTGTGCATACGCAGCGTTGATACATGAGGCCCCTGGTCTCTTAAAGTTGACTCTACATGTCTGACATGACAGATTCCTCCACAGTGTTTGTTCTGCATGTTGTTGTTGATCAGTCTCTCTCTAGTTTCTGCTTTGTTTTGTGTCCAGATAAACTGATTGTGATCCAGCAGAAGTTGTCGTGGTCTGAAGCTCTGAGATACTGCAGACAGCATCATGTGGATCTGGTCTCGGTTCAGTCAGTGGAAATGCAGTATGAGGTGATGAACGTGGTTAAACTGGCGTCTACTGAGGCGGTGTGGTTGGGTTTACGTTTCTCCCACATTTTGGGCATCTGGTTCTGGGTGAGTGGAGAGACCGTGTGCTATCACAACTGGGCTCCAGGGAACGGCACATCAGAGGAGGACTGTGAGCCCACAGTGAGATCTGGAGCAGTTCAGTCTGGAGGACATCAGACCTGGATCAGCCGTCCTGAAACTGACCGACTCAATTTCATCTGCACAAACTACTAAGAGTGAAAGACCTGTGTTTTATTATGATTTAAATAATCAATGATTATTTTTTGTACAGTTTTATAATGTAGTGTTTATTTAAAATGCATAATGGAAAAATCTTTCATTTAAACATACTGTATGTATTATTTCTTGGGTAATTTAAATGTACTTTTCTCTGGTATATATTTTTTGAAGAGCCCATGAGTTGTGATCACCAGTTGGAGATTGCTTCCTGTATTCCTGCTGAACTACATCTCATAGATGTCAATGTACCAAACAACTTCCACAGCTGACAATAATCTGAACACACGGACACACACAGCTGAAGCTCATCATCATTGATTATATGGACTATTTAAAAGCCTCACTTTCACGCACACTTGCTGAGTCCTGTTAAACAGCATTTCTAAGCGGTTCCTTGTCTTGGATGACTTTGTTTTTGACCTTTGTTTTGTTTGTTTGTTTGTGTTGTTTTTACTGGACTCAACATACATTGTTATCAATGGTTTTAAGGTACATTAAAACCTCAGTCATTCCCCTTAGAAAAAAAATTCTCAAAAAATTTAAAAAAATGTAATTTCAGTCAATTAGAAAGTAGAGAATCAACAATTGTGCAATAATTTAACTCAATGTAAAGAAGTCATGTGCATTGATTTTATGTCATGTTGTTTTTCTGGTAGTGTGGTGGCTTTCTTCTCGCTGCTGTGTTTTGCTTTAGTTATATGTTGGTCACACTTTATATTGATAGTTCGTTTGTTGAATTTACATTGAGTTACATTGCATCTACATGCCAACTAATTCGCATTCGATTATGAGTAGACTGTTCGGCTGGGGTCAGAATTGGGGTTGGAGATTGAGTGAGGGCAGGCACGTGCACGCATAGGGCTCAAGCCCTTTTTAGTCTTAGATAGCAAGTGTCCTTTCAAAATGAACTGAAGTGCCCCTGCCCCCACGCTCTTCTTTTTGAGGTCGTCCAAACCTCACCCCCAATAAACGCTCTAATCTGATGAAGATCAGCTAGGAAACCAGTTGTTCAGGTTGTCTCGATCATGCATTCTGAGCCCCCCTCTTTGCCCTGGACTTTACCTTCTCCACCAGAGCAGCTCACTCACATTCCACACAAGTTTTAATATGGTCTATCTAGTGGCTCTATATTCATGTTTGGTGTCATTTTAAATGTCTCTGTGTGATTGGTAAAGTGCTCTTAATATCACTGAAATTTACAATCTCTTTTATATCAGTTAATTTGGGTTTTGACTTTGATAAGATCTTTGTCAGATGCTCAACTCCAGGCAAAATGGTCTTCACATCAACTCATGACCAGGCTAGGTTCTTGGTGAAGCTTTCATTGTCATGAATCACTTATGGTGTTTTGAGTATTTAAGGAAAAGGTGCAGACGTGTCTGGGGGATTCTGTAGCCAGGATACCCCATTGCAGTTTGTGAGTCTCTTGAGATCTACATCAAGGCTTATATGCTGCAACGTACTTCTACACAGTCAAGTATCAATCTCTATCTCTTAAATGAATAATTGATTGAATAATTGATGTTGTACAATCTTGATTGGCTTATTTTGTTTAATTATGTGAATTGGAATGAAAAATATTTGCCTGACAAATAAATGTCAAATTCTTGTTTAACTCTAATATCTGCTGAAACCTTTGTAACTAGATTGTTTCAGCTCATGTTTCCGCAGCCTACGACTAGGATTAGTCATACATTTAGGCTCAATGGATGGAGCATAGGCACAGCATTAAAGACCTGATGATTTCTGACAATCACTGACTAATGCTGTTTACACCAGATGCGGAATGGATAAATCGCGCTATTCGCGTTTAAATAGCCGCGTGAACATTTAAATTGACTCGCTTCAATCGCGCATCAAATCCGCTTTATTCGCGTGTCAAATTCACTTCAAAACAAACACGGATTTGCGTGATGGGCAGGACTTCTGTCTGCCCGGTGACTCTAGCTTCGTTGCTAAATGGCTAACATGTATTTTATGAAGAAAATAACAGTGTTTATGTGCTTTATGAAGGCTGAAAAACAGCGTCGATACGTTTAGGGCCGTGTTTGAGTCCACTAGATCCTTTCAGAGGTGCATCCAGCTCTGTGAGCTCATAAAGTCCTCCAGAAACTTAACCTGGATGACGGAGGCTTTCAGCGGTGCTTCTGACTGAGCCGAGCCCAGTTTAATGAACTGTTGTCGGTGTCGCCTAGAGCAGTGGTTCTCAAACTTTTTTCACCAAGTACCACCTCAGAGAAAAAAAATTGTCTCTCCAAGTACCACCATAATGACCAGTATTGAAGTACAGTAGGCCTAATTAAGCCTGATTTATACTTCTGCATCAGGTGACCGGCGTAACCCACAGCGCATGCAACGCGCGTGGCTGTGCATTTATTCTTCTCTGCGCTGTCTATGTTGATCTGCATTAACACTTCTGAAACGCTAGTTGGCAGTGATGTGTAAATGTTCCTTTGTGTCGAGTTTCTTCGCTGCTTTTTTGCTTTTCCTGAACACTTCCGGGATGTACAAGTGGCTCAAACTCGCTCATTTTGAGGCAGGAACTGGCGGACGTGCAACAACTTTAACTATGAGGTAAACACAAAACAAAACTTTCCACCTGGAGCTCCTTCACAGGACTCCACACTTGTAAACAATCGCTCGCGCCATTCGCGCAGCTCTCGGTCCCGCCCAGACTCGTCAGCGCTACCAAGCCGACCAATCACAGAGCTTACGCTACGCGTCGTTGCGACGTGTAGTTACATTTTTTGAGAGGTGCACGTCAGCGACGCCGACAGCCACGGCGAAGGGCTATGTGTCAGCGCCGTAGCATAAGCCGGTGTTTGACGTAGAAGTATAAATCAGCCTTTAGGCAGCTACAGCTCTGGACAGTTCAAAAACATGGCAGATTAATTCCTATTATTAAGAATATTTAATATTGGCAGACACTTTAAACATTATAAATAGTTTGAAGATTAACACTGCACTGTGCTTACAGGTAAAAAAAATAAAATAAAATGTCAATGTTTAAATTAAAATGTGCTTTTAAATGTTAATTTAAAATGGCACTGTTCTTAAAAAGTAAGAAGAAAACTGACTGCTGTATTTAAATGTAAATGAGTATTATCATATAGTAGCCTATTCATCAAAACCTGGAAACATTCCTTAAACCTTGTAAATATATATGCTATATGTCAGTATATTCATGTATATTCTTTTTGATAAATTTTAAATATAAAATGGAATCATTTATACATGCAACATAAATCTTAATCTAAAAATTAACTTGTATTTAAAATATATGAATTGGATTTACATGCTTAAATTAGAATTTAGATCTGTTAGAGTAGGCTTTGTGTGTCAGAAAAGCAAGTGATTAAAACCATACCTGTCAACACAGGGATATAAAAATACAGGATACACCCCCAACAACCGTTACAAATATGGAGAGGAAATTAACTTCAATTGATAAATACATAACAAACATTAGAAAATTGAAAATAAAAGGTTTAGTCTATTAAAATCAATTTACTGATCACATCGGTATTATTGTACGCATCAAAGGGGTAAAAGTGCATTCATTTTATTACTTTAATTATTCAGTGATTGCTCCACGTACCACTTGAAGGAAGCCTGCGTACCACTAGTGGTACACATGCCACAGTTTGAGAACCACTAGCCTAAAGGATTTTCCCCAGGACACGAACAACAGGCTCTGTCACAATCACACTTCCACAAAAGCAAGCTCCTGATTGGTTAACCTAGTGCGAATGTCCGCTTAAAATTAGATTTTTGAACATGAGTGATTCACGTCAAACACGCAAAAAGCTCAATTCACGATGCGCCATTTGCGTTATTCGCGCTGCTCCATTCGCGACGCTGGATGTCTTTTTGCGCATTTGCATTGACTTAGCACAGCATTAGAGTAGTAGTGTACAATTTCATGAAAAAAAAAATTATATATAATATATATACATAGTATTTAAGGAAAAGCTCAAACACACTGCTTCCTTGTGTGACAACATGGGAACATCAACAAGCCAGAATCAACAACAAACCCAGATTACAATTTGCTAAATTACACTGGGAAAAAGACTAATGTTTGGAGACATGTCCTGTGGTCTGATGGAACTAAGATTGAACTGTTTGGCCATAATGACCAGTGTTACATTTGAAGGTCAAAGGGGAAAGATTACAAGCCTAGGAACACCATCCCAACTGTGAAGTATGGGGGCGGCAGCATCATGTTGTGGGGCTGTTTTGCTGCAGGAGGGACTGGTCCACCTCACAGCATAGATGGCATCATGAAGAAAGAACATTATGTAGAAATACTGAAGCAGTGGCGTAGCGGACGGGCCCGCAGGGCACGCACCGCGGGGGGGCCTCGCGTGATTAGGGGGCCCCACGTCGTCGCGATTTTCAATAATTGAAAATTCAGGAACCGCAATAAATCAAACTCTTGGGAACAACTGTGGTCGGAACCAAAGTTCACAGGTCTATGTTCTCTGAACACCTCTCAAGCAGTGGACTACTTCATTCTGATTGCTTTCCGCCGAACCGCGTCATGGTCATAGCCAATGAAGACGCGCCGCTGTTTCTCGCCGCCGGTTCTCGTTAAAAAATGAATGACTTCTGGCTACTTTGACGCTCTTGCGGCTTTCGGTTTGTGACCGCTCCTTAGTTTGTGAAGAGTTCCCCGCGTTGTCGATCCACCCCGCCTATTTTCCCCGCTCCTCAATTTGTGACATAGATATATATACACTAGATATGGCATAGGGACCCTGAGCATGCGTCTATAGCGCCGCCACATTGGTACAGTGCTCCTAGGACAAATGTCATTCAACCGCACTAGACAAGACAGTGTTATTACGTGAAGATGCGGGAATTTAGCGCTGTCTACGAGTGTAGTAACGAGCAAACAAAGAAAACAAAGGCAAAACACTTCATAGGTCAGATTACGTTTTTTCTGTTTTTGTATGTTCTGAAATTTGTGCTAAACAGGTAACGTTATTGATGATAAC